ATAAAAAATAGTTTTATACTACAGAAAATATAAACTATATGCTTATAATGAAATCCCGTTACCTGCTCGTCCTCACTTCTATTGTAATATAGAAGGGGGCACCCGACCAATAAATTCATTTTTGTGTAAATTTACTAAAAATCAAAAATTTTACATATAATAGGAGTCAAAGAATTTTAATCTAATTCAAATATTTAAGTTATATCGAATTATTTCGAGGCTATTGATTCAATGATTACAATATTTTTAGATCATTCATATTAAAATTCACAAAATTTTATATTTCTCTTCAAATTTAACTATGTGAGGTCCTTATGTATGAATATCACTGCGAAATACTTCAAAATTTAGATAAAAGTCATTTTTCTTTCCTCTATGATTCTGCTATCATCATAGTTTTCTTATCTTCTCCTTTTTTTTATCATTATTATTAAAATATAACTTTTTATTTTATTAGAAATATAAGAACGTTTTAAGGATTTCTCTTATATATATTAAATGTAGAAATAAGGATAAAGAATAGAAGAAAAAAAAATTCTTTCTTTCCTCTTCAAAGATCATTCAATGATTCTTAAGCACTTTTACTATATAAAATACATAAATGTGTCTAAGAGATAAATAAAGATAAAATTGAATGAAATAACCTGATGAATTATTATCCTTTTTAACCTAGAAATAAATAATAAAAAAAAAACGAGTTCTGCATAATATTCAAGAAAGAAAAACAAAAATGCAAAATCCTTTTTAAAGTGCATATGTAAGAGAAACGTTTTCCCTCTAGCTCTCTTTTCATATTTTATATTTATTTTTTTTTTTTCCTTGCTAAGAAACGCTTATTATCATATTATTGTGTTATATAGAAGACTTTTTCACATAAAAAAAAAAAAACAGAAAAAAAACTTATCGATATGTGAAAATAATACCGAGTATTCCTTTTGTTATGTGAATGAACTCAATATTAAGTAAGCCATGAACGAACCGAACAATATTCGTGTTAATATTCTTTTAAAGATCAAATCTTTATCTAATAATGTACATGCATATATGCAGAATATCGAAGACTACTAGGTGTACTTATTTAATTAATTTCAATAATATTGTTTTTTTATACTTTTTACAATAGAATTTGAGTGCGATAATAGAATTTGTTTTTTAATCTATTAGATCTACTTAACATAATATCTTTCTATTGTTTTTTAAAAAAATATGATTTTTAACTAATATATTAAGTATTTCATTATGTAGATTAAAAAAATCCAAATTAGGAGAAGGACCCGGTGTAGAAATAAGAATGTGTTATTAATCAAACTACATAATTTAAGAAATTTATAAATGACGATCATTCTGCGAAAATCTAAAATTTAATAAAATCATATTGCCTATAAAAATCAAATTTTATAATTGTCATATGATTTAAACCAAAAGTACCACAGTGCGGCTTTCTCTGAGTGATAGTGACATATCGTAAAAATTTCAATAACTTTATTATTGACAAGAACCATTTATATTGTGACTTTTTATTTTATATTATTTAAAATGCCATAATCCTCCATACCTTATCAAATTCACTTAATGTAATGGAATTTGATGTTCTTTTCAATTCTTTAAAAATAAAAGGTTTTTGTAACTTTTTCTTAATCATATTACAAGAAATTAGAACATGATTCAAACCAATTGCCTAAAAAAAACTAGCACATTTTCCTTACAGAATTAAAAACAAGTTTTTAAATTAAAACTATTGTTCTTTATATGGATGTTGCTGTTTATATCACAATCTCCTCCTAAAAGTATGCAATGAATGAAAATTAATTTATTATTCAAGTATGCAACCATTACACGACGGAGCCGCAATGAATCGAAATACATTTTCTGTTAAGAATAACATGAAATATTGCATACTTTTAGGAAGACAATTAAAATTAAATAACAATGAAGGTAATTATAAAATATTCATACCTAATTAAATCAGTTAATTTTTGTTAAATAAAAATGAGTTGCCGATTATCCAGACCTTAAAACATTCAAAATTCCTTAAATTATAATTGAATTTTAATAATTTCACCTCGTCTTTAAATTTATCATGTTTATTTGAATAATACTCGCAAGTGTATTGGAAATTTTCTAAATACTTGTTATACATATTTAACACACACACACCATAATATTGGAATTGAGGCCTTCATCGTCATTTTTACAAAATGTAATTACAGCTAAATTAAATCCATTTTCACACTACTAATATATACATACAATTATAGATATACCTATATACATATATAAATAAATAAAACTTCAATACCAAAAATGAACATATGAGTTACAAAAAAAAAAAAATTAAAATAAGAACAACCATTTTACAATGTCATAATATTGCACATAAGATCGAAATCCCGTCTACAAAAAAAAAAACTTTATACGAAACTTTTTCTCAACTTAAATAACATTATGTCATATTCATGTATGTATATGTATATATATATATTCAAGAATGCACAACTTACATAATCAATGAATGGAAGAGAAAATAGACCAAAAAATACAAAAGGTGACAGTAATCCTGATTGCAGTTCTGATTCTCATGAATGAACACACAAAATGAATATTATGTACCTACAATACTACATGCACAGACACACACAACTACACACATATTATAACATTCTAAAAATATATTAGTAAAATGCAAAAATTAACAAAAAAAAAAAGGACAATATAAATTTAAAAAGGAAAAGAAAAAGGAAAGAAAATTCAACAAAACGAAAAAAAAAAACAATCAAAATTAAAAGGGATACAATTCAAAAGTTTAAGGAATACAAAATGTAATATACAAACCAAAATCTAAAAACCATCATCCAAAATCCACACAAAAATCCTCTTTTCTGATTCCCATATATGTATAACAGTTATAATATTATATAACCAATATACTTTACGTGCAATGCAACATATGCATTGAACGAAAAATGAATTAAAATCTTGAATGTTGTCATAGTTATGTTTTTTTTTTTGTTTTTTTTTTTGCTTTTCACATTTTCTATCCGATTTTAAAATGCAGGATCAAAAAAAAAGGAAATAAAATAAAGGATTTTTTTCCTTGCTAGTTGATTTTCAACAACAAAAAAAAGTTTATGCAGTACTTTCCAATATACTTATCGTCACACACATAATACAGCTACACTAACATAGAGAATGACTTTAGAAAAGGATAATATTTGGACTCAGTATTTTATATGTGTATAGTAATGAAAAAATAATAAAAAAAAAAATAAATTTAGTATAAAATCTTAATGACGTCGAGACTATGTCAATGGATTTATAATATTAAGAAGCGGCTCTTATCCGGTTAAAAAAAAAATCCTAAAAACACCATAAACACAATTACATAAACCTTATATATAAAAATAAATAAGATGATATTATATACTGATATGTTATATATGCACACATACATACACACATTATAAATACGTAATTATTGTTTGAAAACTTTAAATTAAATGACATCCTTTTTATCTAAAATCTCTTCTATATATAGAGAGAAGCAAAAAAAATGCATGTTGTAAGGATTAAAAATGGGATTTCATTCATTCTTTCATTCTGTTAGTCAGTCATTTCGTATTCATTTACTCATTTCATTCAGTTCAGACATATAGATTTTGAACACACACAATTTTTACTACATATGTTTTTTTTTTCACCACTAAAGATTATAAATTTTTCTAAAGGATTGATAAAATGTTGGAAAAAAAAAATGAAAGGTTTAAAGTACAACCTATTTTCAATGATCTGATTATAATTAAAAAAAAAAATATGGGGGAGGATAATGAACCAAGCCATATATTGTGCCCATGTTAGATTACTTCAATGTTTTTCCTATATAAGGAAATTAGTGTATATAAGTATGTGTTTTTGGAAAAATGTTAAATGATTAAAAGTTTAATATTTTTTTTTTATTGATAAAAGGAAAATTGATTTTCATAAATTGTAATTTTTTGTTTTCATATTATTTTTAAGTTTAAAAGGATTAAAAGGACGAAAAATATATATGTAAGAAAATTTATTTGATAAAAAAAAATGACGATTAGTCGATAATAAGAATTTTTAATTTCTTGGAAAATTGCACAGTATTTTTTTGCTTTTATAATTTAACACTCATAATCGGCTTTTAAATTAAAGAAATGTGAGCACTTGTATAGAACTAGGTGGTAGGTGAAAAAGTGTGTTAAACTAAGTAACAAAGGCTATTGAATTAATCAATGTGAAGAAATTTTTCAACATGGCATTTTAATATAAAATGGTACCGATTCGGGTTGAATTAGACTTCACTTGAACGAATTAATGAAAAAATATTTTGAAATGCAGTTGAAAACCAAGTAGAGAAAACCTTTAATCTCATAATATTTAATTTTCAATTAATATTTCTGGAAGTTGATCAGTTTAACCTAGAATTCTTTTTATTTACAAACCACGAAACGTGGAGCAATTTTTTATCAAATTATTGCTAGTATTCAATGCTTTTTCTAAATGGTGAATTCCATAAATTCTTAACGGTATTAAAAATCATTTGATACGCTATAAGAAATCGATAAAGTGAACTTAGAATTCAGTATAAGAATAATTTATTGATTGATTAATCCAGAGAAATTTTAAAGCCGACTAAATATAGTTTGGAATCAGAGCTAATCAATAAGCAAATGAAGTTTGATTAACAATCTCTAAATGAAAGGTTGATTTCCATAATTTTAAATATCAGACATAGATATACGAGTATTTTGAAGAAATGTCAAAAAATTTAATATTATCAAGTGTGCTGTTAAATAAAATTAAAATTATAAAATTAAAAATCATTTTTCCAATATTTTCGAAAATTTCAAAAATTATTTCACTTCAAATATGAAATCAGAATCAGAACTTCCATTATTTTAATATTTTTATGCAAACATAATCATTTAAACACAAATCTAATAATTTATTAAATTAAAATAAAATTTCTTTTTCAGGTTATCCACAACCAATGTATAGATGGCTAAAAGATGGTATACCAGTTGGTGACTATTCAACTAGTCAATATTATAAAATTCATAACACAAGACGTGAAGATGCCGGAAGTTATCAATGTATTGCAAAAAATGATGCCGGTTCAATATTTAGTGAAAAAATTGACGTTGTCGTTGCATGTAAGTATAGACGTTTTCTTTTTAATATTTTGAGTTGTACTCTAATTTTTTTTTTAATTTTCAATTGAAATTTACTTAGAATTAATTTACATATATAATATAATTTTGCTTCAATTAAGTTTAAATTTTCGAGATCATGGCCATTTCTTGAAAAATACAAATAAAAATCTTAAATTTTTTGAAGTGATTGTGACATTTTTCGTTTACAACAGAATTTTTTAATTTTAAGTACAAGAATAATTTTCTCAAAATTTAATTCTTAGAATTTTTCAATGAATAAATGTTTGCTGAGAAACACAATTTGAGGCAGTTTTTTCAAAGTTGTTTATGATAGAGACCAGTTTTGCGATTACGAGCGGCGAATTATTTTTTTTAGGAAAATTATCGATCATCTCTAGAATAACACAACATGAAAAAGTTAATTACAAAAATAGTGTTATGTTTTATTATCATGAAGTGAATATAATTTTAAGTCTTGTAATTTTTCACATATATATGGCGGAATCTCTATGCAACAAGTCCTCTTTATAGTGGAAATCTGATGCATTCTATTTCAAATTTATAAGAATCCATACACGTAAAGCGAAATCTCTGTATTATGAATTAAACTTTTGGAATTCAAGTTGTTTATTGTAGGTCCATTTTATGCATATAAAAGCGTCATTGGATTTATAATTTCAGAATCTGTATGTATATCAATAGAAATGCTAAACAACAAATTTTGAAAATTAACTTTAGAACTTCCCATATTTTTTGATTTTACTAATGAGAACTATTATGTAAACAGCATAAAAATAATTCCTTATTCAACCACAATTTCGACTCAAAATTCAAAAATTTTAAATTGCGTACACTGAATTATAAAATTCGACAAATCGTCATAAACCCACTTTTCATAAATAACAATTTTATTTACAAAAAAACAAAAAAAAAATTTTGTATTTTCAAATTCTTAAATAAATTTCAAAATGATAAAAAATATCCTTTTTACTTCAATTAACTTTTAAGGGAAAATTCATCATGATTTTTATTCCATTGTACAATTGCGCAAATATAAACTATTCAGTCTAGAGATGACCATCATTATAAATAATCATTAAGAATAAAATAAATTCAAGTGTCCTCGGATAATATAAAAAAAAGTTGTATCATTTCCAGTTTTAATTCAATAGTTCCGATCTCTCTCTTTCTATGTTAAGTGGGTAGACTGCCGCAAGTACATTCATTCTTTTCTTTTTTTCTCCGAATATTTCAATTTTTAGTGAATTTTTTTTCTGAAAAAATTGAAAATTTCAATTCAATGTTATATTTGAGTAGAATATGTATATAAAAATGTTGTGAGATTTAGATAAATTTTTAATAAGAAATAGTTACATACATATATCCATATAGATATATACTCGTAATATGAATATGTACAAGATTATAAGCGACTGACTATTCTAAATTAAAAGGAATCAATTGAATAATAAGACAAATATTAATTCCAATTCAAAATAAAATGAGAATGCAGAGATTAAGTTGGTGATCATGATAATGATGATGAAGTTGATGATGTGAACGAGACAGATAAAATGTATGCAAATTTAATTTTTCTGTTTTGTTTTAAAGTATGGAATTGAAATAATGATAAAGAAAGAAATTTAATTGCCATTAATTGAAGGTTATACGAAGAAATTAAATTATCAAATTTTTTTTTCCCATTTTATTAATGCAAGTTTCGGTTGGACAAACGAAAACATGTACATAAAACATATTCTGCAAAAGTTAAGAGATTCAAATTTATTATACAAAATTACTTGAGTTGTACTTGAGTCATAATTTATGAGTAATTACATAAATTTTGTTATTGAAACTTTGAATTAAAAAGATGATTTTGAAAATTTTTGAATAAATTAATAAAAGAATTAAAAGCTAATTCTTGAATTCAATTTAAGAGACAATTTAAGAAACTAGTTCCAGATAAATATGAAAAAAATTAGCAAACATCAGAATGAATTTTATTTAAAAAGCAGATTTTAAAAAAATCTGTAATACCCTCAAGGTCTCACAAGCCAACAATCTATCTACGACTAACACAAAGCTCCTAAACTAACCGTAATGTATAGCACATTCTATTAAACCATATGCAGGCGCTTATTGTCGCTAAAAGTCCACTAAAACAATAATTATTAGAATATCCTCAATAAATTTATACAATTATACGGAGAATTTTAAATTAAATGCAATTTTAAAATAAAATTTATTACCATTTTTTTTGTCCACTCTAATAAAAAACCGTTATTTTTTCTTAAATTATTGATGCAAATTTTTTTATCGTTTATTTTTATTTTGTTTATAGATATGGGTATATTTGAGGATTTAACAGAAGGACGTATAACAGTACAATCAGGTCATCCAGCTGTATTTAATTTACCACCAATTGAATCAGTACCAATACCATCTGTAATGTGGCAAACAGAAGAAGGACCATTAAATTATGATATTAAATATGCAGTAGTATCAAATTCAAATCAATTAATTATACTTGGTACAGATGAAGATGATCGTAAAGCGTATCGTGCACGTGCTATAAATACACAAATTGGTAAAGAAGAGAATAGTGCATTTATACATTTAAATGTAACTGGTGATCCATATAGTGAAATAGCACCAGAAATTATTGTACATCCAGAATCAAAAAAATTAAAACGTGGTGAAGAATCATCTGAATTACAATGTATTGCAAATGCCAGACCATTACATGAAGTTGAAACATTATGGTTAAAAGATGGTATATTAATTGAGAATGCTGGTATTGCATATACATTAAATGATCCATGGAATCGTACATTAGCATTATTAGCAGTTAATTTAACGCATTCAGGTGATTATGTATGTCAGGTACGTTTAAAAAGTGGTGGCTATCCAATTGTAACATCAACAGCAAAAATTATTGTACAAGAGCCACCATCATTTTTTATACAAATGAGAGGTGAAACATTAGGTGAATATGGAGCACAAGTAATATTACAATGTGATGTTATTGGTGAGCCAGCACCACATGTAACATGGTTTAGAAATGCAGAAGCTGTTAACTTATCAAGTGGAAGGTAAATTAGATTGAATTAATTATTCTGTTTTCTTTTTTTTCTTTTTCAACTTTTTTGTATTTATAAAATTTTTACATTTTACATTATCTCTCCTTTCATTCTGATTTTCTTCTATAGTAGAAAATACAAACATACAAACAAAGTTTTAATAAATTTTCACATGTACAATATACATAATCCTTTTCTGTTTACTTTTTTTTTTTTTTGGAGTAAACATTAAATCCAATGGGAATTATTATAATTAAAAGGATATAATTTATATCCTTTAGGGTATTTGCTTCCGGTTTTTTGTATTTTTCCATTTATTTTTCATTCTCTTCTCTTTCTTGAATGTTTTTGAATGTTTACCAACAATTGTTGTTATTTATGCTTAAATGGTTTTCCTAATGCAATTTATCTGATCATATTATCTTAACAATTTCATTTTTTCTCCTACATTTTTGATTAGAAGGAAAAATATTACCAGAAAAAAAAAAAACAAAAAATGAAATTAATTTATTTATTATCCTTGTTCTAATTATTTTTTTACATGATATTATTTGTTTCTTTTCTTTTCTTCCATGTTTTCATAATATTCATTCATCTTGACCGTATAAATAAATAAAAAAAAAAAGTTATCAAAAAAAGGACGATAATTCTTTGGTAATTAAAAAATTAACAATGGATGATTCGGCAATGTTTCAGTGTCTTGCTTCAAATGATGCCGGTGAAAAATCAGCATATACGTGGTTAAGAGTTAAAAGTAAGTATATAGAAAAAAAAAATAAATAAATACTTTTTAAAAAAAAAAAAAATTATACTTACTCTGATGAAAAAGATTAAAAAATATTTATTTGTGCTGAGATTATTTATTCAGTGGATTTTATACTTAAAAAATTTTGATGTTTTCAGAAAAAAAATTTAGGTCATTAAAAAAAATCAAAATTAAATTGTTTATTACGGCAATAAAAATTAATCTCATATGTAATTTGAAAAAATTTCGATAAAATTGTAAGTGCTTACAAGTAACATAAACAATTTTTTAAGTTATACAACAAAAGTCCAGCAAAATTTTCAAGAAAATTTGTTCTCGTGTTATTTTAATAAGTCCGGAAATCCTTTTACATTTATGCATCAAAGTCAGCATACGATTACATAAAAATTAAAGCTAAAATTTGGAACAATTTCTCTGTTGGGGAACATTTTACTACCAAATTCTATTATTTTTACAACACTAAAATTATTTTTTATCCAAATGAGAGGCGAAATATGAAAATAGAACGTATAATACTATTATGTGAATGAATTGCAACTCTTATCATTTAGCATAAAATCAAAAATTTAGCCTTATACTTGTTTTATTCATCTTATCGAATATATATTAACTGATTTCGTAACATGTAACGAAAATAAAATTTTGATTTCATCCGTGTATTAAGAACTGGGCGAAAATATTACAAAAAGCATATCTAAATAGTGTGAATTCAATGAAAGTGATAGCGTGTCTCTCTATATTACTCTAACATTCATACAAATTAGAAAATTTTAAATAGACAATAATTGAAATACTATAGATCTTTTGTAGCGCGATAAATAGTGAAGACCACACATATTTATGTGTCAGGTTACGTTTTCGTAGTTCATATTGTGTTTATGAAACTCTCTACCATACAGAATGGAACTTCATGTGTAAGAATAAAAATTGTTTAATTGTAGGTCTCTCTCGGAACCCGTTTTAGGGGCTAGTGGCTCTTAAAGGAAAAATTTTTTTTTTACTTGATCGAAAATCGTCTACAACTTTGGCTGTGTGAAACATAACTGTGAATACCTGATAAAATAGGTTATCCAACAAGTATACAACGAATTACGTAGCATACTTTTAGTTCAGATGTCACAAATTAAAAAATGAGTTTTTGAAAATTTTTTCATTTTTTTTATTAAAAACGAACTTTTCAGCGTGATTTAATATTGTAGCTTTTCGAAATTTCCTCCAAAAATGTTCATGGTTTCTATCAAAATGCCAGTAAAAGCTGTAACGTTCCTATTGTAGAGAATTTGCTTTTTGATTGGTACAAGATCTTCATAAAAAATTTACTAATTTGTAAATAATAATTTCAATGAAATCAAACAATTTTGAATTTAAAAATAAAATTGAAATTCACAATATTTAATATTTACAAATTGAAGAAAAAAATTGTTCAAATATTTAAAAAATTTATTTAAATTTTTTACACAATTATATAAAATCATATGCGTTCAATTATTCTAAATATTTTATTATATTGCCTCTAGACAAAACAAGAAAATTTCATAAAAACTACAAATAAAATCCACTGAAAAATAATTTTAGAAAAAAAATAGAATTAAAGAATTTTAATTATTATTTTATAAATTCAAAATTTTATTTAATATTTATTTTTTCTATTATTAAATTGTTATTAACAAATATTTTCATTTTCTCATTTATACAAAAATTTTCTCTTTCCAAAATAACTGCTTAACAAAATCATATTATCAAAAAAAAAAAATTTAACTACCGTTCCTGTTGTGCATTGAAAAAAAAAAATATGTATTGCAAAAAAATTCCAAAAAAAAAAAACAAAATCATTAACATATGAATAAAAAGAGACCCTAGGTAAACTAAATAAGGATATTTATAATCCAAAATTTATTACTACTGCAACTGCAACCACAGCTAGTTTAATTGATATCACTGCCACTAATATTTCTACCACTAATATTATTACTACTACTTCAGCTACAACTACTACTACTACTACTACTAGTAATACTAATATTAATATTTTAACTAATTCTAATACAATTAATTTATATAATGGTAGTTTGATAAGAAATAATAATGGTAATAGCAATAATAATAAGAATAAAAATAATAATAATAATGAAAAAATAATTTCAATGCCAATTAACAATAATTATAATTATGGTATAAATTTTATAATAAAAAAAAATGATAGTAATAAAAAATTGTATAATGTAAAAAAAAGAATAAGAAGATTAGCGCAACCAAGAATAATAAGGGTGAGAGCATCAAATACTGGATCAGGTTCTAGACGAAAGCAGTTTCATTTCGGTATTTTGTCTTTCGGTTTATTTGTTTATTTTTTGAAATTGTCTCTTTTAGTTTTCCTTTTTTTTTTTTTTTGTAATATTCTTGATTAGTTGTTGCTATCATTGTTGCTATAAATTATTTTTCAAAAATATTTTTTAATAGACACAAAGAATTTGTAATAAAAAAACAGCAAAGATTAGTTTAACATTGCACGTGAGCATTTTTTTGCAATCAATTTTACAATTATAATGCATTTTGATCTCTTTTTATTTATTTTTTATTACACTTTTTATATTCATGCATAAATTTATTTAAAATTTGCACGGCACCTAACATTTTTATACACATATACATATTACTATATCTTCATGTTATGTGGCATATTTTAAATCACATAATCTTTCAAACTGTATATTTTTTGTATTACTCGATAAATGAAATATTTTCTTAATTATAATAGCAACCGAGAATTAAAAAAAATATTACTTATACTCGCATACCAATGAATCATATAATTTTAACCCATTTCATCTTATTGTCGCAACTTGCAATACGTATATGGCCAGGAATTTTTGAGTTTACATAGACTAAAATGGATTTTAAATAGCAAATTCAATAAGCACGAGTTCAATTCAACTTATAAGTATGCTTCAATATACAAAAGTTAATATATTTTAATAATCTCCAGTAGCCTCTTACATTTACTGAATTATATATAAATACGAGTGATAATGGTTGGGCGAAGAACTATAATTACCATTAGGGTAACAAAGTTTAACATAAAGGTTTTTCTTTACTTTATTCTTTCGCAGTCTTAATATCAACCAATTTCTGATTTTTGTAATTCTACCAATACAATAGTTTACCAAAATTAAACTTTTAGAAAATTTTAATTACCAAATTTAACATATTGTAGTGTTGAAAAATATTCTACTCTTAATACGAAGAAAGAGAAATATATGAGAAATTTTTTATTCTTTTATTTGATATGGGATTACTAACTTCGAATTAACAAATATTTCTAACTGTTTAGGTATTTACAAGAATACAAGATTCGTATTTAAAAATTCATACAAGAACACTAAACATGTTCTTGCACAATTAATAGCAAATTTTAATGATAGACTTATTTAAACGAAAAAATTTGAAAATTCAGTTGTTCAGTCTGTTAATTTGAGCATAGTTTCTTTATTTTCTTGTATTCTATAAATTAACATCTTACATAGTATGTTAATTTATATAAAACGGTTGTTGTAATAAAAAAAAAGGTACATATTTCCGCATAATTATTATCAAACGTTTGTAAGTATGTACATATACCAATTGTACAATGTACATAATAAATTCCGTTCTCATTATTCTTTTCATATATAACAAAATAGAAAATATGCAAAGATTATGTAAAAACTAAGAGATATGAAATATCTATGACAACAATAATAATTATTACCTTTGAAATTTCCTTCAATATAGATAAATTTTCTTATTTTTAATTAAATAATTACATAAAATGTATATATATACACACATGCATGCATATTTAAATTGTAAAATTTATAATTGTCTTTTTACATCAATAAGTGAACCTAGATATGTACGATATAATAAACACCATTGCAATTTATAATAAAAATAATATAGTAAAGAAGAATAAATTTCAAATAAATGAAAGATTGAAACTAAATTAGCATTGCATTTCTTATATAAAATGGGTTAAAAAAAAACCGACAATACATACAAAATTATAAAATTTAAAAATAAAAGGAACTTGTAACAAGGATAATGTTATCCTGGTCTACATTCTAAAATCATATACGTGTGTATTCATTGTTATATTTCATTTCAAAATATTTGATATTGTTATCAAGGATTTTCACTACAATTTCATTTACTTTACTTGAGTTTTCCTATAAAATAAATAATATAGAAATAGTAAAAGAGATGTAGGTTAGACTTAAAAACTTTTGATTTCATTGAAATATATAGAATTCAATTTATGTAATGGAAATTATAATGAAAATGTTAGATTTTTCCGGCAGTACAATACAAAGACAGGTTTAAAAATTCTTACAAAATTGTTTATCGTAAGCTTTTCGCCTTTATTTCTATAAAACATTTAAGTACATTAAAGGAATTGAAAATGTAAAATTATCCTTGCGTTAGCGATAAGAAATGAGATAGGAAGGAAGAAGCTAAAATTATTTGAAAATCGTTCGCAGCCCTAGAAAGTGAAGACATTTCAGAGAAATTCTGAATAGAAACGATTTAAAGCAATCATAAGAATTAGTAAAAACCATATGAGAATTTTTACGACTTGCAAGTATAATAAAGAAACGTGATAAAACAAGTTATAAACCTGACTGATCTTGAATATTACGTAGAAAGGCGTTAATTTAGCTTTTCAAAACATTATGAAAAATGTGAGTTTTGGGGCTCTAATCTAAGCAAAGTAATAAGCACTGAGATAGCGGGCACAATAGATTTCTAAGAATGCTATGCTGTTCGCGTAAATATTACCGCTTCTGTGGCCCCCTGCCGCCTGATTTAAGATGCTTCATAATTCAAATCATAATACGAGATTCAAGTTTAAAATATAAGAAAAAAATACAAATTTGAATCCAAAATTCTTCTCATTTCCTAATATTTTTTAATATATATTAATGAAAAATATTTTTATTCTGCAATAATAATTAAAATTGAATGTGCATACGACTGCAATTTTCAATCTCCTACATCTCTTATTTATTTTTTAATGCTTCATTTTACAATGACCTCATAGACAAATTATTATATGTTTTTCCTTTGTTCTTTCTTTTTTCTTTTTTGTTAATTAAAATCTAAAATCAAAAGTTTTTGTCTCACAATCGAAATATCATCCATATATTATTTTCATTACAATATTTTGTGATTTGAAAAATGTACAAAAGTCTAATTATAGAAAATTTTGTACATTAAATACAAATATATGGCAATGATAAATAATATGTAAGATGTAAGAACATAAATAATAAGCATAGCAACTGGAAATTAATATTTGTATTGACAGAGTGTTTCAAATCTTATATTATTTCTTAAATGGTAATACCCGAGCCACAATCATAGTTATTTGTTCAGCCGTAATGTGAAAAACATTGTATGAAGCCGAAAACTGTATATAAAGAAGATTTGGAAGTATTTTACCAATTTCAAGTAATTTTTCGGATTTTTAAGTTATAAGCGTTGCAATTTAATTAAAAAACACAAATATTATTTGTCCGAGTCACCTATTTAAGAATGTAGGCATGTAAACTTTAACTACAATTCAATTGGTGTCTTACAGTCAAGAATATCAGAAAATTTATTAAAAATTTTGCATCGTATATTAAGTATAATTCAATGAAATATTGAAAACTTTAAGTGTGTCGGGATTTTCCTATTTTTTAAGGTCTAGTTTTCAACTTTTTAAAAATTTAAAGTCAAAACATGTAATGGATTACAATCAAATAAGTTCAAATTATTTTACAACAATCTAAGAAATAATTAAAAGCAGCTTTCTCTCACGATTGTTTTGTTAAATGAGATGTGTGTGTTCTCAATAGACACATTTCATACATATATATTTTGTTATACATACAAATATTTCGATTCTTTAATATTTCAAGGAATGTTACCTAGTATGAGACACTCTATTTTTTGCACATATTGTTTGTCCATTAAATAATAATATTTCATTCTTATAAATTTATAACTCTTAATATATTACGCACATACATACATATATTTACAATTTACAAATATAATGACTATGATACTTTTGTTATTATTATTATACATATACAAACATTGATATATTATTCATTTATATGCATTTAGGTATAATATTCTTAGACTATGAGGTTCATGTTTCAATATTAATAACATGTCTCTTAATTATAATAGAAAATTATATTTTTTTTTTTTTCTCATCATATGTCAAGCAAAAAATCATAAGTTTGTGCAACATAAATAAAGAATGTACATATATATATATAGATGTCTGTACATGTACTTGATTTTAGACAAGATATTTTATGAAAAAATACACTTGCAATGTGAGCTTATACACACTATATAAATCAATAAATGGAAATTTCAATTTTGGATAAATATTTTAGAGTAAAGAAAAACAAAAATATAAAATTTTGTTGATAATAAATTTTTGTTGATTTCATCAAATTTATACTTACGTACATACATTCTTACATACAAAATATAAAGAGAGTTTTTTCAAGTAAAATTCAGCTACAATAATTAAATTTTATATTTTTTGTGGTAGCCCTTAGATTTTGAACCGTCCAAGGTCATTGTTTCATAGAAATAATCAATTTTTCCATATCAAGTTATTTCCGAATTTTCGACCATTCTTCTGTTATAATATAAGGTCACTTTTAGATTTCGGTAGCCTTTTCGCCACACTGTTCTTTAAGTGCGCCCATAAATTCCCAATTGGATTGTGGGCTGGATTTTGTGATAGTGTGTCGAGTACTTATAAAGCAAACAGCTCGTTATCCCGATAAAATTTATAACGTTGAGCAAGAACAAATTTTTTGACACTGTTTACCTTTTTAATTTTTAAAATTTCTATAGATATTGTTGCCTATCTATATGACCATCTACATTAAAACCAGGTCTACCACCCTGTGACAAGATATACAACCACAAACCACTACAGACAGTTTTTCGAATTTCACAGTTGGTATAAAATTTTTGTTGTTTCAAGCCTGTTACGGTCTTTTCCAAACTTAAGTTGGTCTATAGCATAATTTTAGTTTCTTCAAAAAAAAATATTACATCGTTCCAGTAACCTTCTGGTTGAATCTGTTATGAGTTATATGATTTTAAACATTGCTTTCTTATATAACTCATAAATTGCAAATGATTAGATTGCATTTTGAATTTCACAGTGGAATAGTATTAAATTTCAGAATACAACTTAGAAAATTTCAGATCAACTCATTCATTACTATAAAAACATTCGCAATATTGAATCTACATATATACGA